ACTGCAGAGACGGAACAGAAAGCATCAGAGTACAGTGCACATCGTTGATGTGGATCCTGCAGTACTGCAGGAGCGAATGCTGTATTTAAAAATGTGTGTGTGTGTGTGCATATGTATGTGTGTGTTTGCAGTGTTAAACGCATTTTGGTGGGTTGTTACGAAAGTGTGCAAAACACTGCATCACAACTTGTGAGATCTGAAGCACAACTCTGCACATGTGAACAGGTGAATTTCAAAACATGTGACCCCAACACTCAATAAGAAACACTTGTGAACACACGATTTCATAAGAGAATACTTAATATTAACATGCCAGCTTTACAATGCAACCATCATTCCACTATCCAAAGGAGCCAGGGTCCCCCAACTGAAAGGATTTTCTATTTAATAAGTCCTGACCTGTGGTTTGAAACTGCTAATCATTTTTTAAAAAATCCTCTTATTCCCTTCCTTTGTCAGAGGACAAGCCGCTTCTCCCTGCTGCCACACACCGGCTGGTTCCAGAGGTTCTGCGGAGCCCCGGCACAGCCGGAGCTCCCCGCCTCTTGTGACAGAGGGGCCCTGCAGACCACCTTCGGGGGCTGTGCAGAGGCTTTGCGGGGGAGTGAGGAGCACGTGGGTGTTTCCCATCGGGCACTTGATCTGGGACGGGACACACATACCTGGGTGACTTGGGGTCCCCGTTTTTGCATAGGACCTGCGAGCGTCTTCCACTGATCCACCTTGGTAAGTTAACATTGGGATCAGTGTCTTCAGATCACCTTGAAGGAAACGGCAAAGGGTGGACACATCAGGCCTGGTGTTAGGTTTTGGAAATTCAAGTTCACTCCCCAAGGGCTCCTTTGGAGGGTTGTCAAGACCACTCTGGAACAATGTCCTCCTGCAGGACGCTGTTCAGTCAGTCCAGGCCAGGACACAGGACCTAAGTAAGCTCTAGGTTGGCAGGCTGGAGGGTGGAGTCAGGCCTGCGTGGACGAGCACATACGTTGCATGTAAGACGCCCAGAATCCCACACGGACCAAGCCTGTGCCAGCCAGGTGTTAGACCAGGACGCAAGAAAAGACCACTGACTCCAATTAAAATCAAATTAAAGCAAGCTTATTATTTCGACCGGCCGGGCTTCCTTGCCCATCAAAATCGTGGGAGCCAAGGACAGTGGCGAGGCTTCTTTGTGGCTCAGATTTATAGCCCAAAAAGTTACACGAAGGGGGGTTACAGATAACAACACTCTGAGGAGCATAACACAAGTTTACATTTTTGCTGGCCCCGGCATCAGAATTTATGGAGATCTTAGAGACTCAGAGAGGGTCGTTATCCGGCCAGGGAAGGCCAGAATTTATGAGGCGTCAGTAAGGTTTAGGAAAGGGTTTTTATCTGGTCAGGGAAAACCGGACATGGGTGAGTTCAGGGCACGGGCAGGCATTCCAAGTAGGTTCAGAATTTGCAGTAATTTATAGTAAAGCCGAAATTATCTTTTCATGGTTTTATGGCGAGATGCCCAATTTTAAGAAAAGATCAGGTTGGGTCTATCACAGGGAGAGTGCTGGGCACACAGTTACGTGCCCACGGTGACAGTGTGTGGCCCTCCACTGGGCACTTGACGTCACACTCTCACTTAACTTTCACAGTTGTGGGGAATAAATACCATTGTTATTCCCATTTTATAGAAGAGGAAAATCGAGGCTCAGAGCTACTGAACAGCTTGGGCAAAGCCAAGTATTGGTGTGTCAGGACTCCAGCTCTCACCCCAAGTTCCCACCTGCCCCCCTCCACTGCATACCTTCAGGGACATTCAAGAAAGCCCCAGAGACCGAGCCTTGGGTTAGCTACTTATTTGGGAGTGATTTCCAAGATGCATTTGACTCTTGGAAAAAAAAGAAAGAACCAACACTTGCTCTAATTATAAAAATAACACCGACTGTGGTAGAATATGAGCAAAATATACACAAAACCAGCTTTCGCCCGCCTATCTCACGGCCGTTTGGGGTAGAATCTGGTTTATTCATGGGCCCAAGATGAAGGCTTCTTCATGCAGAGCTGGATGGGGACAGAGCTGGGGACAGGGGTCTCCTGCCCGACACTATGGGCCTCCTGGGTCTGCAGGCTCCAGGTCGGCTCTGTGGCCCTGGACGGGCACCAGGAGGTATTTTGGAGGTGATTCGGCCATCTCCATAATCCCCATCACCGGCTCCTGCACTGTCACGTAAGGCCACTTCACACCTCCTACTCTCTACATTAAGGCCACACGCTTGTGTCACAAATGCAGCCTCAGGGCGGGGGCTCCTCCCAGGCTCTCCATCCCTCAGCTGCCCCAGGTCCTCTGCAAGCCGCTGGGCCATGCCTGAGGGCCCGCGGGGCAGGCTGAGGTGAGGACCAGGATCACTGCGAGAGACCCTGCTGCGGGCCTGGCTGCGGCCCCATCTGAGGGGAAGGCACTGTGTGGTCATCGGGGGACGCTGGTCAGGACAGTCCACCTGTGAAGTGATGGGCCATAACTGGGGGACTGGGGACAGGGGACAAGAGGTCACACAGGCTGAGGGCCCTAGCCCCTCCCTGGGCTGCAGGTGGGATCTCGCTCCACTTCCTACCAGCCACCCCAGCCCTGGGTGTCCCCCTCTGCCAAGTCACGCCCACCTACCAGGACGGCCACCAACTGCGTGGCACAAAGGGGGCGCTAAGCACGGGCGGCTCTTTCTCACGTCCTCAGAAGTGGATCAAGGGTATAGGTACCTGTCGGGGGCCCAGGGGACCAACAGGGCAGAGAACATGGGCATCCCAGAGAGGGGTGGCACCTGAGGAAGGACACGTGGGGACCTCTGAAAGGGACAGAGGGGAAGGTGCGGCCCCTCTGGGCTGCAGGGACAGCACGGCCTCCCGCCTTTCCTCCTCTGGGATGTGTCCTGGGCCTCAGTCACCAAAGGACTGAAATCACTGTCATCAAAAGGCCAAATGGATTCTTTTCTTCATTCAGATGTAATGAAAGTTCTGCAGAATCCAGTAGAACCATCCCCAGCTCTAAGTCGCGGCCAGAGAGCAGGGTCCAGAGCAGCTGCCGGCCCAGCTTCCGGGAGAGCCGCTGCCCTCGGGCGCAGGGTCCCACGGAAACTGAGCTGGCCGCGAGCAGCACCAGACATGGGCCATCCCCTGGCCCTGGAGACCCTCTCTGCCCAAGGCCACACATGGGCTCCTTCTGCTCTCCCTGATGGCTGCTCTCCCTCCCTCCTGCTCCTGGGGGTAATCGGGTCCTTTGCTCCATCCCTGCTTATTCCCTGGACTTCCCCTGTGTCTTCACTGCGGCTCCCAGGGTGTCTGGGGCTCTCTAAGGCATCCTGGGGGCGCAGGCAGCTCTAGGCGCTCACCTCCACGTCCACCTCCCACTCAGCTTCTCCACCTGTGTGTCCAGCTGTCATCACACATGTGACAGCTTTGAGCCTGCGCTCCATAAGAAAACTGTGGAAAAATACACAAGATATAAAATCGATCATCTGAACCGTTTTTAATTTGGTGGTACTAAGTGCGTTCACCTTGTGGGACCGTCACCACCACCCATCTCAAGGACTCTCATCTTCCCGAATTGAAACTCTGTCCCCATTCAACATCAAGCCCTCATGTTCCCTCCACCAAGCCCCTGGCAACACGAATTCCACTTTCCATCACTGTGAACTGGACAACTCTGGGTCCCTCCTATAAGTGGAATCATACAGTACCTGTCCTCTCCTGACTGGCTTATTTTACTTAGCAAAGTGTCCTCAAGGTTCATACGTGTTGTGACTTGTGTCAGAATCTCCTTCCTTTTCAAGACTGAGTTATATTCTGCTGTGCGTCTACACCACATTTTGCATGTCCATCATTCATCCACAGAGAGTTGGGTTGTTTCCATTTTTTGGCAACTATGTTATGTGTTTGTTACCACAACTGTGATTAGTGCTGGATTGAGGAGAATCCTATTTTTAATGTTTTAAGCAGCTGCCATACTGCTCTGGGAGCACCTGCTCCATGTTCCTGTCCCAGGGACAGTGCACCATTCCCGAACCCGGATTCTTTTCTTTTTTTCTTTTATGGCTCCGGGGATTGAACCACTGAACCATACCCATAATTTGGAGACAGGGTCTAGCTCCGTTGCCCAGCCTGGCCTTGAACTTATGATCCTTCTGCCCCAGGTTCCCGAGCAGCTGGGCGGCAGGCTTGTGCCTCGGTGCCTGGCAAATCCAGACTCTTGGTCTACACCCCAAACCTGCTCCACCGTGATTCCCCTGGCCCCTGTCTCAGCTCATCCAGCTCCGTCCTTTCAGTCACCCTTAGAGGAAGCCGTAGAGGAAGCAGTCCCCGATGCCCCACGGCACACCCACCAGGTCACGGGAACTCGGGTCGACGCCACCTGCAAGACATCAGCAGAATCCGGCTGCTCCCAACCTCCCCCGGACCTGTGCCGCTCGCCTGTCCTCCTTACTCTGAAGCCAGAGCCTGAGCCAGGGGTGGAGGTGGCGCCAGGAGGCTCCGGGAGGGACCTGATAGCCGGGCCTGGACACCCTGCCCGTCCCAAGCCACCCTCACCTCCCACCTTTGGCAACCTGACCTCTGTACCGGCCGGGGACCTTCCAGGACCAGGGAGAGCCTGTCCTCCTCTCAGTGGGTCCCCAGGGCTCCGGCCTCACCCAGAATAAAAGCCCAGATGCCCAAGGTGCACCCAGGGGCATTCAGAGGCCTGTGTCCTCTCCCGCACCTATGACCTCTGCCCAGGCTGATGCTGCACCCGGGCACTCTTCCCTCAGCCAGCCCGGCCTCCCTCCATCAACCACACTCACCTTCCCCGCGAGGTCCACCCTGACCTCCTGTCTGAAGCAGCAGCCCCGCTGGCCCCCACGCCCACTCCCGTCTGCTGCTCCTTCTCCATGTAATTGTCGCCTTCTAACACAGCATCCTTTTCTCTGATGTGGTTTGTTTTCTGTCAAATTCCAATAAAACACAGGCTCCGTGAGGGCAGGATTGCTGCTGGTTTTGTTCACGGTGCCTGGCACATAGTAGGTGCTTGATACACGTTGGCCGCCTTAGGTGGAGTCCGCATGCACAGAAACAGCCTTTGGGACACTTCCAAAATAATGGGGCCCTTTAGGGTTGGCCTTGCTGGAGTCGAAGTCCTTTTTAAATGCTGGAAGGAAAAGGCACTTCCCTGAAGGATGTGTGTGCAGGGACACAGAGAGAGAGAGAGGTGGTGGGAAGTGGTTAGATTCTCGGGGCTTCCAACCTGCGCCTGAGTAGCCCTCCCCTCAAGGTGGAGGCGGTGTGGGGAGCAGGCTTCACACAGCCCTCAGCCAGGCTCAGCACACGGATGGGTCAGAGCCCTGCATCTCCAGCTCCTGCAGCCCTGATCGCATCTGGGCATCTCAGGCGCAGCCCTGGCCATCTGCACAGGCGGGACACTGCGGTCTGCACCTTTCAACCGCCCTGTATTCCACCGCCCCTCCCCAACCCCAGTGATCCAGGACTGAGCTAGGTTGCTGAAGTCCTCGCAGCCTGGCAGAACTGAGTTCAAATCCCAGCTCACCATTCCTGCCTGGGTAAGTCCCTGGCCCTCTTGGAGCCTCCGTCTCTTTCTCTCTGCAATGGGAATGGCGCTGCATAAGGCAAAGAGTTCTTCTGAGCTCGGAGGAGAACTCCCTGTGTCTAGGGTACAGCCCTGTGCCTGGGTGCCCTGCAGAGGGCTGTGCACGCTAACTCCCGCCAGCCTCTGCAAGAGCCTCTCTGGGGAAATAGACTGGGCCCGTCCCTGCTCACCTTGCTCTACAGCGTCTTCAACAAGCTTCCTGTGCAAGCTCAAGGCTCTCTGGCCGACCACCCTGGAGACCCTCCAAGGCCACAGGAAGTGCCCAGGGCCATTGCTCCCAGCGGGTCATCTGTCTCATCTGCTCACGATTGAAATGTGTGGGGAACCCCGTGGTGATCAGCACCGAGTGGGCATGGGACAGTGACAGATAGGCCTTCAGCAGCTCATCCTGACAGAGCCGGGCAGATTCCTCCGTTGCCTAAAGTAGAAAAGTAAAGCATTAAAATAAAACCAACCAATTGTGCTTAAAGTCCAAATTTCATGCTAAGAATATCCGGGTTTTCACTGTTCCCTCCCTCCCTCCCTCCCTTCCTCCCTCCCTCCTTCCCTCCCTCCCTTTCTCCCTCCTTTTCCTCCCTCCATTACTGGGGGTTGAGCCCAGGGGTGCTCAAACACCAAGCTACATCCCTAACCCTTTTTAATATTTTGAGACTAAATTGCCCAGACTAGCCTCAAACTTGCAATCCTCCTGCCTCAGCCTCCCAGAGAGCTAGGATCAGAGGCGTGCACCTCTGCATCAGGCTGCTTTGTGTTTTAAAGAATTGCTCAGCAGGGGCTGGGGCCGGGGCTCATGGTCGCACACTTGCCTGGCATGGACAAGGCACTGGGTTCGATCCTCAGCATCTCATATAAATAAACAAATAAATAAATAAAATAAAGGTCTATCAACAACTTAAAAAAACAAAAAAAGAATTGTTCACCAGAAAGCATTCCTGTCCCCCCACTTCCCCCAGGGGTGAAGGGCCACCGGGTACATGGCCGACTGGCCTCCCGTTCATCTAGCCGTGGCTATGAGACTGGCTGTCTCCGGGGACCATTAGTGGGAAGGACGGGTGCCCCCTGGCCTGGCCCCACGCGTCCTGTGCATTTCTCCACTTTCTTTCCCTTTATGGGGGGTGGGACGTTGACAGCTGGAGCCCCCCGTCACATGATCTCGTGGCAGAGCTGCTGGGTCCCTGAGTGACTGGGAGCAGAACCCCTTCCTGCTGACTCAGAACACCCCTGGAAGACCCCCAGGACTGTTAGGCGAGGGCGCAGGGACTCCTAGGGTGCTTCAGCAGAGCATCTCGGGGCTGTTCGTTACAGCAGCTTGGCAAACCCTTGGGCAACCTTCCCCACCGGGGTACCGACCCCTCTACCCTCCCTGGAGCTCAAAGGAGGCCCTGGAGGGACAGAGACTGTCCTCGGAGGGATCTGAGTCTCCGGTGGGAGCTGCTCTGCTGGGAACCACCACTCAGCTGTAGCTGGCACCCGGGGGGCAGCAGGGGCAGGCAGGGCAGCAGCAGCACACGCTGTAATGGCCACCACAGCTCAGCCTCCTGGCCATCACAAAGCATCACGCCCAGCCACACTCGGGTCATCTCAGAGCCAAACAGAGCCCTGTGGGGGACAGCGTGACTAGGAACTTCCACCCTGGCTATGGCTGGAATCCCAGGACCAAAGGGACGTTGGTTTGCAGCCATGCGTAGGGAACCTGGGGGACGCAGGGCTGGTACTTCCTGTGGAGGAAATGTCCAGATTGAGAATCTGGAAACCTAACTCAGTGCAGGTGCTCACGAGTCACTTCTGTGTGTCCTTAGCCACACCTCTTGACCTCTCTGAGCCTCAGTTTTCCAAGTGGGAACTAAAACAGTTTTGTCTATATCTTAGATTTGTACATTCCACAGAGACAGCTACCCACTTCTAGTCTGTAGCATACCTAGTAAAGAAATCACGAGTGTGTAGACAAATTTAGTGATAAGGATGTTCACTGTGGTGTTATTTATGGGGTTAAGTACTGGGATATTAATCAAAGGCAGAACATTTCTATAAATAGATAACAATCCATAGAAATATAATGGAATTCTATGCAAACATTAAGAAGGACGTGGTGGAAGGCTGTGATATAGAAAACGTTCACTATATATTCAAAAGTGCAAAGAGCAAGTTATAAAGTAGTGTACTGGAATTCTAGTCCATACGCATGCCTGCAGAGGTTGGAGAGTGAAGAAAAAATTTACTGTCGATATTGGCTAATTGCAATGTGGTTCTGATAAATTTTAGTGCTTTTTTTTAACTTTCATATATTTTTTGATGCTTCTATAATGAGCATGAAGTACTGTTGATAAGAGGGGAGAAGAATCACAACTTTTTAAAGGAAACAATCAGGAGGTACTGTATTCCATTGGACATGGTGAGCACTAAGGGGGGGGGTTTGGTCAACCAAAATCCCCGCATCCATTTATGATGATTTTATTATCAGTGCAAAAATCATTACTGTCCCCCTATATCCCTGGCATTCCTTCAGATTCTCCAGGGACCTCGTGTGCAAGATCCTTTTAAAAAAAACACCATGTGACTCTCCTGCTTGCTGAATAATTCTCAGTGCCCTGGACGCTGTCATGAATCTCCTGTCTGCTTATTTAATATAGTGGCAATCAAAATCATCTATTGTTCTTGAGGATTAAAGATGGTCCTTACAAGATGAAATCAATACGTCCAGACAGCCATTAATCTGCCTCCGAGCCTCCTGTTCCCAGCCCGCACAGTCTGCCAGGGCACTGCCGGGCAGCGCTGGTCTTGACCTCTCGCATTACCCTTATTAAGAAAGGATCCATCCCCTCTGTGGTCAGTACACTTCCCAGTTCCTTTTAATTTTTTTTTTTAAATTTAAGTGAATGGCTGAGTTAATAATTCCTCTTCCTCCTGAGCCTGTGCTAAGTGGGAGAGCCAACAGCTTGGGCAACAATGTTTGTGTGGAAGAAAATACATGCAAAGTTTAGAAAATATCCACCCAGGGGCTGGGGATGTAGCTCAGAGGCACAGCACTGGCCCAGCATGTGGGTTAGACCCTGGGTTCCAGCCCCAGCAACACACACACACACACACACACACACACACTCCATCCACTATCCATAAGAGACCATGCACACCTGCCCACTGCATGGGAGGGTCCTGGGTCTGCCTGTGGTGGGCTGAACTTACATGTGTTGCACGCAAAGGAGGCCACATCCCCTACAGGAGGAATAAAGGAATGAGCAGACCAGAGACCAGGCGGGCAGCTGGGCCGGGTGGTTCAGTGGGAAGCTTCATGACTGGATGATCTCTGCTCCCAACCCCAGGGGACAAAAGTCGCCATTTCTAAAGTTGGTCTGCTCTGTCAGATTCTGGGCTACAGTGCCGCCAGCAGGGGACAGGGTCCCAGGCTGTCTGCTCCACGGCCCTGCCAGGAGCTGTCCTCTTACACTGTCACGGGAAACAGCTTTGTCTGGGTCCTGAGAGTCTGGCCCAAGAATTCACTGCCCCAGACTGGCCTCACCCCTCTGTGCTCCGTGGGGGCCGTCCACCTTGGATCTGATCCAGGAATCCCTTGGGAAACAAAGGTGCAGAAGAAGGAGTGGACTGTGAGCCAGGGGGTGATGGAACCTCCCTTTACCTGCCCAGGTGATGCTGTGACGTACCAGGTGGACTCAGACTCCAATTTAGCCAACACGGATAAATTATGGGCACTGGAGCCGGTGGACATGGGTTCAAGCTCCGCTGGACCAACTGGGAGGTTATATGGACTTAGACGAGTTTCCTAAACTCGTGTGCCTCGGTTTCCTCGTCTGTTAAGTGAAGTTAACGATAGCTGTCTCTCAGGCACTGGCAGAATTTAATAAGATGGGACAGGTAGTGCTTTCAGCATGATGCTTGGCACAGAGTGACGCTCAGGAATCTTCCCCAAGCCCAGGAGGGAAGCAGGATTGCTGGAAGTCCTGTCCACTGACACAGGTGGCTCTTGAGAACACGGACCCAGGGAACCCAGTCTGCCCTTCCCAGACAGCGGGCGAAACAGCGCCCTCTGCTGGCCGCCTGGGTTCCGCTCCTGGAGGTGGGGGAGGGGAAGTTCACAGCCCCCAAAGGCCCTCAGCCAACCTCTTCCTCCTTGGAATCAGCAGCCGCCTGGAGGATCCTAGAGCCTGTCCCGCGCCCATGACTCACAGACCGCCCTGTCCCTGCTGTCCCTTCCCTGAGGCACAATGTACACTCTAGAGGTTGGCTGGAAGCTTGTGAGGCTGTAGCCCTCCCAGACCCCAAGGGGGAGCCGTCCAGCCCCCACCTCCACCTTCTGCCCAGTGTAAAAGTCCAATCTGTGTCCAACCCAGGGCAACGGCTCTAACGGGGGAAAATTGGGCACCTTAATGAATTCGTGGGGAGTCTCTTTAAATAGGGGCAGTTGCCCCTAGAAGCTGTTCTCCCTTTCTTTCTCTTCTGCCCCGGGCCCGTTGGGTTCTGGGTAGCAAGGTGCCCAGCGGGCACACCCTCCCCTCAGGCTCCTTCCTGGGTTCAGTGCTGACATTTAGAACCTCAAGGAAAAGTTGTAAGGAAAAAAGATCACCCACCGCCCACCGCCTAGAGGAGATGGCCAACGTTACGTCGGGGTGCATTGACCTCAGCCTCCTTGGGATTCACATGCAGGATGAGCATTTAAAACACTCACACTGTGGGCCCAGTTTGCAGAGTTTTTTTTTTTTTGTGTGTGTGTGGGGGGATAGAACCCAGGCCTCATGCCTCTTGATGGTGAAGCGTTCCACCCTGGAGCTGCAGCCTGCCCACGTCCTGCCCTTCTCCCTGAGCACTGCAGCAGGGAAGAGTCTCCCCAGGTCACTGGGTGTGACCGCTCTGTCCTACCTGGGTCTATGGAGATGGTCGCCTCCTGTCCTCTGATCTTCTGAACAGCGGAAGCTGACGCAATGCTACAGTGCAGAGGGTCTTGGGAAACGTGGTGGACCTCTGGGGTTGCCTCAGGGCTGAGACAGCTGGTCGGTCGTTACCGTGGGTCCTGGAGTGCTGGTGAAAGCCACTGGAGCCTTTGCAGCCCACGACAGGAAGGACTGGGCCCGGCCACTCTCGTCTTTGCCCACTGTGGATGGCAAGATGGCACCCACGCCCCAACTTGGCCTGTGTGGCACTAAGACCAGAGCTTAGGACCGAAGGCCCATTCAGACAGCTGCCTGGAGTTTTAGGAAAGCAGAGATAGTGTGACAAAAGAAGGGAGGTACAGTCACAGCTGGAGCCAGCGCTGAAGCCATGGAGACCACCAAGTGTTTACAGAGGATCTCGGCGTCTCCGTCTGCTTTCCAGGGAATGTTAGATTGGCTGCGAACACTGGGAACGTGGTTTCTATTTTTCTCGTCGCGCTTATATTTTGCTTCAGCTTATGCTAATTTTGTTCTTTAAGAAAACTCTCCCCTACTAGATCGCAGGCCGTGCGAGGTGCTGCAGCATAGTTACTAAGGAGCAGCTTCAGCGTGGCAGGCACACTCGAGTTTGAGATGTGACTCTCTCCTCTCTACACTTATTTCCTCGATTATAAAACAATGATAATACCTGGCGGGGGTGGGGGGTGTTGTCAGAACTAAATTGGAAAATGCACATAAAAGTGCTTAGCCAAGTGCCTGCCACAGAGGCAGCCCTCAGTAAAGGCTGGTTTGAGTTGCTGCACCAGATACGGTATCTCAGCTTCTCTCCTTGCGCCTGGCTCCTGGCTGCTGAGTCCTTACTCTACTTAACCTGCCCTTTCTGCCTTCAGTGGTTATTATTGTCCTTGGGCAGGCTACTTTCACCCAGCTGAGTGCTTCTCGGGAGGAGGAATCATTGCTTATTCATCTCAGAATTCCTTGCACATAATAGGTGTTCAAAAAACCTAGAGGTGAATTGAGTAAATAACAATGTCTCGGATTCACGTAACAGTAGAATTTCTTAGATGTAAAGAAAGTCAGAGCCAGTCCATGTTTCAAAAGGAAAACCTACTGCTAGGTACACGCCTTCCAGACGTGACGCATAGAGGGATGGACCACGGGGTCTGCCGGGTGCTGTCGTTTCTCTGTGTTTTAGATAGCACCGAACATGGCCACTCCAGAGCCATCACCCATCAGAACAGTCAATTGCTGATCAGAGTTTAAAGGTCGAAGCTGAAGAATGATTCAAGTTTGTCCTGACTGATGATGTTATTTGTTCTCATTTGCAATCAGATACACAATTACCATTGGAGCCAAAGGGCTGGAGTGTATGGGGCGGCCTGTGGCAGTGAGTTCTGCAGGGTATCCCGGTGTCTGATGGCAGGGGACCAGAGACTGCTGTGCTGTGAGGCTGTGTGCACAGCTCCCTCAAACCCCACCCCAAAATGATCACAAACTCTCCGAGGGCTCCATCTGGTCTCATGCAGCTTTATAGTCCCAAGATCTGGGTCAGGCCTGGAACATGGTAGGTATTCAATGAACGCATGTTAAATAAATGAATAAATAGCATCCCAGGGATCTTGGCATATCTTTTCACCTTATTACAGAGAATCTTTTCTTGTTACAAGTACTGATAGCCAAACTCTCATGAATGCTTCCAAAATAAGCTAAAGTGACACTGAGTTCTATTTCTTCTAGAGCAAGTGTGGCTGACCAGGCCAGAATTTTCCTGGCTCTAAGACAATGGGTTGCAACAATTATTATTTTTATTGTTTCTGTAATGTTCCAATTTTGCTGTGAACTGCTGAGGGTGCCCTCAAGTGTCTCTTCATTGTAATATCACTCGAGCTCTTTGAAAAAAAATGTACTGATAGTGTTTTCAATTACCTGGTTAAGTACAATTGGCCTCTGTATTTCAATTGTGAATTGAAAATAGTCTAAAGGGGGGAAAAAAAAACTGTCTGTACTGACCATGTACGGACATTTTTTTCTTGTTATTATTCCCTAAACAATACAGTGTTCAACTATTTAAGTATTTACATCATATTAGGTCATAAAGGCAGTTTAGAGATGACAAAGTATACGGGTGTGTGTATGTGCAGGTGATATGAAATATTATCACTTAGAAGGAACTTGAGAGCCCATGGATTTTAGTATCCTCTATGGGGGCGTTTCCTGGAATCAGTTCCCATGGATACGGAAGGATGTCTGGACAATGTGAAATGGTTTGGTTAGTTTTGTTTCTTGGTTTTGCATTTTGTGTTCCGGGCCCTGTGAACCTCCTGTTGGGATGAGCTGTGAGTCTTTAGAGATGGAAATGTATTTGAGCTCTGAGCTGCTCTGGCGAGGAAACCCAGCCTGGGGTTAAGGACGCAGAGAGTCTGGTTTCGGGCTTTGGTCTGGAAATGGTTGCCCTCTAAGCCTCTGCTTTCAAGAACTCAGGCCACTGGCTCTGCCCTAGGTCGGAAGTAGGTGCCCCCTTGTGCCCCCAAGGTACTGCAGGTGCTGACAGCTTCGAGACTGGTCAGTGGAGAAGGCCAGAACACTGGGCTGTCCCCTGGCCGCCACTCCACGGGCTCCCCATAGTCAGGCCTGGAGAGTGCTTTGATTCCCAACCGTTCTCCAGGTGGAGAGAGAAAAAAATTGGTGACTCCCTGGCAGGTGCCCTCCACCTTCAGTAGCGTATGGTTCTTTCTCCAAAAGGAACCCTAGTCTCAGGTTTATCTCAAATGGTATTTGAGGAGGAGGAGAAGGGGACTGGGAGACTTTCCAACTCAGGATATCCCATAACCTGTGACCCATCTTGGCTGATATGGTTCCAGAAACCGGAAACTCAGACTCCATGATGTGATTTCCGGAAGGCATTGAGCCCAATGCTCTACTTTCATTGCAGACTGTAACGAAGCCAGGGTTTGCCAGTTTTTCTCGACACAGACTGAGTCCCGTGGCACAGAAACTCTGTTGCTTACCACCAATAGCACCTCCAACCCCGAGTGGCCATCGTGGTGGACAAGGACAGGGAAGATGGACGCTAGGCCTGCTCAGCAGACCCCCTCCTGGTGGGTGGTCCTAGCCTGTCTTTACATGAGGAAGGCAGCAAATGCTGATTGTGTTCTCACAGACGCCAAGGTTTGCATAATTTTAAAAAAAAATTTTTTTTGGTACACCGCTGGGCAAACTCTGTACGCGGGACCTGGGTCTCACCCAGGGCCAATACAAGGCTCTTATCAGGCCTTCTGCGAGCTCCAAGAGGCCCGGGCAGCTTCCCAACTACAGTCCTTCACCCCTGGATCCTTTTACTCACTTTCAGATGGAGGTCATACTCTGGGAAACAGTGGATTTCAGCTCCAGGGAAAATCTGGAACAGAGCCTTCTCTGCCCACATACGCCACTGACCAGATTAGAGGTGGCTTTGAGCTCAAATCTTGGGACAAAGAGTCCTGCTGCCACCCTTTGCTTCCCCCAGTTTCATTTGAAGTTCACAGGGGCTTCACCATCATCAAGGATCCCAGTGAGTGAGGCTGGCGAACCCGCCAAGGGCAGCAGCTTTAAACCTGGGGGCCTCTGTACATCCAGCCCTGGGGCCCTCCAGGACCCTCTGGGCCTCCTCCAGGCCCTGCAATCCCCACCCCTCCCCCCAGGCCCTGGGAACAAGGCAAGTTCCTGAGTCCTCCAAGGCACTGTGAGAACCATGAACAAGTCTGGGCACTGACCTGGGTCACCGATGTGAAAGGGTTGTCCTTGGTCACCTCCCTTGGAGCAAGTGGCCTGCAGCAGCCTTTCCGGCTTCTCTTTGGGAACAAGCCTCACTGTGGCCACCAGAGGGCAGCAGAAACCAGCCACAGGGGCACCAGGCACTGCTGTCTGTCAAATCAAGTAAAAAAATGTTAGAAAACCGTCTTAGCCCAGATCCAAGCCCTGAGCACCCAGAGTTCAGGGCAGCTGAATGAAGGGGGAGGTCGCAGGAGCTGTGATAAAAATTCGCCTTCTACTTGGAGGTGACATAGAGATGGGCATGTTTGCTGATAACCACTGGTTTAAAACAGCGAATCCTAACTTTTTATGTGCCATGGATTCCTTTGGGGGCCTGCTGCAGCTACAGACGCCCTGTGGTTAAAAGTCATGCTGTTAACCACTTTAAAAAAATTCATAGGATTCCAGTGGCAACCAGCTTTATTGCAACATGAAGTTACTAAGTTCTCGAAAAAAACGTGAGGCCACAGTATGTGTGCTTTCCCGCCAACCGCTTCAGGAACCAAATGGCGATCGACAACCACTGTGAGCTGAAGCAGTGATCCGTGTGGGATACTTTTGACATTCCAGGAAGGGCTGTGATGAAGATATCTGCGATTTTTTTTTTGGCAATCAGGTCTGCTGGTGAGGCGGCCGCGTGTTGCTGACTTTCATAACTAAAGGAAACCCTGTGCTTCAATTTGAGGTTATAAAAATAAAAAGGTTTTTTTCCCCCCATCCAATTTCATGGACCCTCTGAATTTTCTCCATGGATCTCAAGGGGCCCGTGGACCACAGACAAGGAACTTCTGAGAGAATCACAGGTGAAGAGACACAAGGGAGCAGAATATCCCACCAGGAGCTGGTGCTGTTCCAATCCCAGATTCCACATGAGAAAGAGTCCGTCCAAAGTCCCCGGGGCTCTGCCTCACCCCGTCTCAATAGAAGTCGCCCAGGGTGGCCGGTGCCTTTCACTGCCGGGGTATGTGTGTGTTCTCCCTCCTCAATGGTTTCTGGTCCCTGCAGTGGGGCTTATGGAAGATTTAGGACGCGGCCAGAACTCTAATCCCCGAGGAAAGCCTTGGCGGCCACCTCAAGGGCTTGCTGTTCCCCTCTGGCGGCCGCAGGATGAACCTGGGGGTGCCTGCCAGCCCAGTGTCTGCCCTGGGAGAGGGACAGGTTCCATTCCAGGGCCACTGGCAGAGCCAGGAGCACTCTCCAAGGCCAAGGGGCCTCTGTCTGGAGGTGGCTTCTCCTCTTGGCTGACAGCAGGATCCAAGGTGGCTGCCCGGCCACCTGTCCCAGGACCCAGGGACAGAGGGGTCGCGGTGAGGCCTCGGGGACAGTGAGGTAGGGTACCAGTGCAACCACGGCCACGTGAAGCACATGATGTGGACACTCTTGCACCTCCACGAGGCGTCGTCCCCCAGTGATCACACCTGCCTCGCTGACATAGTATAGATGGCAGACAGGGGCTCCAGGTTCCAGTTGGCTTTGGGACTTGAGCAAATGTCTGTTTGTCTATCTGTCTCTCTCTGCCTCAGTTTCCTCGTCTCAAATGAGAGGCTGTGTGTGATGAGCCATAGGCCCTCCCAGCCCTCACCTACTCCAATGCTAGTAAGTTCCAGGGCTGGACCCTGCTCTGGGGCCCAGCCAGCAGCCGCAGCACCATCCCGCCCTTCCCTAGTTCAAGGAAAACCTGTCGGGCACGTGGTTCCCTGTGAACGGCAGCACAGACTGTGGACACCCTTGTTTCTGACCAGAGGCAGCTCAGGCCTCTCTGGCAGGAGCCCAAACCAGACATTTTAATAAACGTTGCAGGGCTCAGGGTGAAATCTCCCATCTGAGTCCTTCATGAATAAGGAAACCTGCAACGTCACCATCTGCCCTGACCTAGCAGTGAGAATGCTCAGACATTCCTGTCCAGGAAGGGGTCTGTGGAATGCCAGGCTAGTCCTCTCCCCTGGATAGGATAGGTGATGGCTGGAAGGAAACCCCAGAGGCACAGGGAGGGGTTACAACATCTAACAGAGGCTCAGCCCAGGGGCCGCCAACTGCAGTGCAGTCGCCTCCAGCCAAGAACAAGACCAGGTTTTCCTGATACAGACATAACATAGCAGCTAGCGGCTGGCAGAGGCCCTGCCACAAATCCCCGGGCATTAGCATAGCCAGCCACATTTTCCCTGAAGAGATGTGCACCTGAACCAGGGAGGTGTTTGAAAAACCTCACTGAGGGGCCCTAAATTAAAAGACCCAGACACATTCCAGACAGGTTTGGTGGACGCGGTTGCAATGCCCTGCCAAGAAGGGCCACATTGGATGTCATGGCAGTACTGGAGGTGGGTGGGCGAGAGGTTGACTCAGAGGCGAACGACTTTTCCTGGGTTGCAAAAGTGGCTGAGTTGGGGACAGAACTTAGATTTTCTGCCTTCTGTGCCAATGTTCTCCTCACCACAGGAAAATGCAAGCTGACCCACATTTTCAGGCTGAAGTAGCACCCCCTTTCTCCCCAGAAAAGTCTTAACTGGGCTTCTCCAGAAATCTCCACCATGGCTGATTTTAGAACTGTCAGGAAAAGAGTCTCTGCAAAAGAGTCCAATGTAGATAAACTTCCTATTTTCATGTCGCCCTGTTTTACT